TTCTTCCTATAAAAATCCAACTCATTCTTTTATTCTCAAATGCCATCTCTTTCTTGGAATTTCTCCAGTCCTTTCAATGAAAATCGATAACTCCTCAGACTTAAACTTCTAATTTAATACCCATTTCATCTGATCTGATACTATGATTAGTCCCACAGTGACCATCTCCTCTGATTATAAATTCCTTCAAAGTAGGGATCTGGTCCTTTGGTGGTACATGTTCCTTGCCTGTGGAATGCCTGAGTGCCAGAAAAGCTCGGCCAATATTATCACATCTTCTTTATCCATTCATCCACTGATGGACACCTAAGGTTGCTTCCATATCCTGGCTATTGTAAGTAATGCTGCAATTAACATTGGCGTGCATATATCTTTTTGAATTAGCGTTTTCATGTTCTTCAGATAAATACCCAGAAGAGGAAGTGCTGGATCATATCGTAGCTCTAATCTCCATTTGTTGAGGAACTTCAATACTGTTTTAGAGAGGGTGAAAGGGTAGCATCTATGTACCAGGGCTGGAGAGTTGGGACAGGTTTCCCTTTCTACAGAAGAGTAGCCTGAAGCAGGTCAGGAGAAACTGAACAACCTCAGTGTCCTTGGGGAAGGCATGTGATAAGGTCACCACAAACATCCACAGTGCTTGGCATTTCTCAGTTAACCAGGTTGTTGCATATATATCATTCATAATTAAATTAGCCTCATAATTCATTCATTAATAATTTAGTAATGACAACTGTGTGGTTTAGCGTCAAGATGTGAAAGATCTGGGAGATATTGAGTGAATAGCCCAAAGTAAAAAGAGTAAAAAACTCAAAAAAGACACAGTAAGGAACTTTTTAAAAATTAAATATTTTCTCCTAGAGTTTTTCCAGCAGCTGATTCATTACAGTGAAGAATACAGACATGTGCCAATGCTAAAACTCTGGCTTGGCACAGTACCAGTAATGGCCATGTTTAAGGCCGAAACTATAGAGGTGAGTTGATGGTGACTGTGGTCAATGTTTCACTATATATATGATGGTGTGAGAATCTTATCAGAATAAACAGGAAATAAATGTCCTTATATTTAATTGAATTCAATATAATGAGCATTCCATTAAATATTTAAGGCGGTGAAGGTGCCATTTAATGCTTTCCAGATATAGTCTGAGTTCTGGGAAGAGTAGCAACTTCTACATGTCTTGGTATCAAGTAATATATTTGTCCTCCATTTTGGGGAAGTCTGCAATTGGACAGAACCATAAATAGATTATTCTACATGGTGAGCTCATATCATCTGCCAGGCGCTATTTTAAGATTGCAAAAATATAAGACTAATAAAATATAAGTGTTTCCCTTAAAATTCTCAGTGTATCCATTATACTTTTATGATTTCAAGTTTATTTTTTAAAAGAGAACACTAATCTGATATTAATGGGGAAGATGTTGTTAATTCACCCTATTGAAATTACTCCTAGAATTGTTTACCTTTCTTTTACTTATTATCATGACATTATTTGTATTATCTGATGGCTTGATGACAAAGAATTTGGGTCAGGAAGTAAAAATGGGATAAAAAGAACTTCAAAATTAACAGCAGAATTTCCTAGGGTTGTTGGGCTTGGATACATATTTCTTACTCATTGTGGTAAAACTCTTAGAGTGTGTCTGGTACCACACTGCCTAATCTTCTGGTCCGAAGGAGATAGCGAGAGGGCCACATGTGAGATTTCAGCCATTGCTGGCCTAGTATAAGTGGGCTTAGTACATGTGGATAGAGATCTGTCCAAAGTAGGGAACTGCAGCAAGATCCTGAGAGGCATTTTTTGCATATGCTCATCCCTTCTGCTTTACTTTGGCTCCAGGCAACCTAATTATACCCATGGTTCCCAATGCTACTTCTATCCTGGAGACATTCAAATGTGTACCTAGTATAAACCTTAATCCTGAGCTTCATACCTGCTTTCAGACTATGTCAACATGAATGCCTCCAATTCAACATACCTGATAATGAACTTGTGATTTCCATCTCCCTAAATGTGGTCATCCTTTGCTTCACCCACCTTCTCTTCCCTCACTCCTACCCTCAATAAACAACTGCACTTGGCTCCTAATTCATGGCAGGGGTCAGGGAATTATCTTGGACATTTTCATTTCAATCAACTCCAGATAGTCCCCAAGATGAGAGACAGTTGTATGCTCCAAACTCTAATTGAATTTCTTTGAATCATAGCAATGAAAATGAACCACAAAGAAGTAATTGTTATGAAATGTCAATTTAGAAAGTAGTTGTATTCTAGCCCAGTATTCTTATAATTAAGGTTGCTCTCATATCTCTATCTCTCATTATTCGTTTCTCTCTTTCTAAGGTAATTTTAACTAGCTCAAAGCAAATTGACAAGTCTCATCTGTACAGGTTCCTAGAACCATGGCTTGGCCTAGGACTTCTTACCAGGTAAGTC